GCCTGCTGCTGCTGGCCTGCTGCTGCTGGCCTGCTGCTGCTGGCCTGCTGCTGCTGGCCTGCTGCTGCTGGCCTGCTGCTGCTGCTGCTGCTGCTGCTGCTGCTGCTGCTGCTAGTTGTTGGCCAGGCGTTTCTGCGTCACTGGCTCTCTTGCAGAGGGGTCGCCTTCGGAGGCGATCCCACGCCCCTGCTAGCTGTCGCTGCCTCGCTGCTGCCGCTGCTGCTGCTGCTGCTGCCGCTGCTGCTGCTGCTGCTGCTGCACCGCTGGGGCCCCGCTGCTGCTGCCCTGCAGGCCCAGGGGCCCCGGCCCTTCATCGCCTGCGCGGCCCTTCGAGGTGTTCGCCTTAACCCCAGGCGCCTCCAGTCCTGCATAGAGCTTCAGGAGAAGCTTCACCACACTCTGTGCAGGTAGGGTTTAGGGTTTAGGGTTTAGGGTCTTTTAGGGTTTAGGGTTTAGGGTTTAGGGTTTAGGGTTTAGGGTTTAGGGTTTAGGGTTTGGGAGGCATTATTGTGGGCGACAGGCTTTGGGCCGTCTTGTGCTTCCCACGTTTCTCTGCCGAGAGTTTGATTTGGAGGGATTAGGGTTTAGGGTTTAGGGTTTAGTTCCAGTGGCGTAGAGTTTAGTTTCGAGGGTTTAGGGTTTGTCTTAAGGGCTTGGCAGTTGAGCCTGAAGGGTTTGAGTTGCGTTTTGAGAATGTGGTGGTTCGGCGTCGAGTTTAAAGGGCCCAGAGCTTGCTTTTAGACCTAGGGTTTAGGGTTCGCTGCAGCTGCGGGCGTGAAGGGTTTAGGGTTTGCTGCAGCTGCGGGCGTGAAGGGTTTAGGGTTTGCTGCGGCTGCGGGCGTGAAGGGTTTAGGGTTTGCTGCAGCTGCGCCCTGAAGGGTTCAGGGCGTGCTGCGGCGAGGAGTGTTGAGGGTTAGCTGTGGGGGGTTAGGGTTTAGGGTTTGGGCGAAGGTTTAGGGTTTAGGGTTTAGGGTTTAGGGTTTGCGGCTGCAGGCGCCGCACCCTCGTGTCCATAGGCACTTACGACTTGGCCCTGCTCCAGCCCCCCTTTTCTTATGGGGCTTATCCCCCCCAAGAGGTTTTCTTCCAGCCCCTCGGCTGCAGCGAATTGCCCCCCATGAAGGGCCCCCAAATCCTCGCCCACTTTGCTGCACATCCTCAGCTCAAGGTACTTCTTTTCGCTCTCAAAGGGGCCCCGGGGGCCCCCTGGGGGGCCCCGGGGGCCCCTTGGGGGGCCCCGGGGGCCCCCTGGGGGGGCCCCGGGGGGCCCCATGCGGGGGCTTGCGGGGCTCCCCTGGGGGGCTTTGGGGGGCCCCTGGGGGGCCTTCGGGGGCCCACTGGGAGTGCCTTGGGGGGCCCCCTGGGGGGGCTTGGGGGGCCCCCTGGGAGGCCCCTTAACCCTGTGGCTTCCAGGGGCTGGGGGGCCCCCAAGGGGCCCCTGGGCCCTGTGGTTGCCAGTGGCCTTGGGGGCCCCCTGAGCCCTTTGGCTGCCAGTACCCTTGGGGCCCCCTGGGGGCCCCCTGGCCGGTCTGGCTGGCAGTGCCCTTGGTGGGGCCCCCAGGGAGCCTGCTGAGCTGCAGGCTTGGGCCCCTGGGGCTGTTTGCTGTTGGCTGCTGCTGCTGGGGCCCTTTTGCTGCTGCTTGTCTCCCTGTTTCCTGTGGACCCTGCAGCACTTTGTCTCCTTTTGTGTCTCTATTGTGGCTGTCTCCCGTGCTGCACATTTTCTGCACTTTGCTGCTGCTGCTGCATGCTTTTGCCCTTTGCTGCTGCTGCTGCTGCATGCTTTTGCCCTTTGCTGCTGCTGCCTCCGTTTTTATGCGGGCCCATTGGCTGCCCTCTGGCCCTGGCAGCAGCAGCAGCAGCAGCAGCAGCACGAGCAGCAGCAGCAGAAGGCGCGGGCCTGGGGAGAGTTGCGGCCTCTTGTGAACGGCCGCTGCTGCTGCTGCTGCTGCTGCTGCTGCTGCTGCAGCAATACCTGCACATGCTGGAGGGCCAGCCCCGACTCTACCTTTTGAAAGACTCAAAAGGCCAAGTCCTTTCTATGCCTCCCCTCATCAACGCCGAGGGCTGCAAACTGACGGCGGACTCCAGAGACATTTTCATTGACTGCACTTCGGTGAGACCCGGGGCCCGAAGGCTGCAGCAGCAGCAGCAGCAGCAGCAGCAGCAGCAGCAGATGGGGTGCCCACAGCCGGCTAGCCACAAACCTGCATGCAGCCCCGAGAAACCCTCTCTAGCTGCATGCAGAGTCATTCTGGGCTCTGGTGGCTGTTGGTCTGCATTTAGCTAGCTAGCTGTGCAGCTAAGAGAATAGCCATACGGCTCCCATTATGTATGGCTTTGAGTAGCTGGCTAGCTAGCTGGCTAGCTAGCTGGCTAGCTGGCTAGCTAGCTGGCTAGCTGGCTAGAGGGAGAGCGAATTGGAGCCACGTAGTTCCACACAAACACCCCTTCGCAGAGCCCTGAACCGCTTCCTGCTGCTGCTGCCTGTGCTGCTGCTGCTGCCTGTGCTGCTGCTGCTGCTGCTGCTGCTGCTGCAGGTGGAGGAGAACAAGGGCCAAGTGGCACTGAACACGGTGGTGGCGATGCTGGCGGAGTACTGCGAAGAGCCTTTTGCTGTGGAGCCAGTGCGAGTGGTTTACGAGGCGGAGGGCCGCGAGCTGGTGACTCCTTGCCTGGACACGTGAGGCCGCAGCGCAGCAGCAGCAGCAGCAGCAGCAGCAGCAGCAGCGGCAGCAGCAGCAGCGGCAGCGGTGGCTGCGGTGGAGCCCACAGCTAGGCCCGCGCCGCAGCAGAGAGACAAAGACAAATGGTGACACAGACACAGACACACAACCACTCCCGTGTGAAACCCAGAATTACGTCCTGCTGCTGCTGCTGCTGCTGCTGCTGCTGCTGCTGCTGGCTGCGGATGTGGGCTTTTTGCTGCTTCTTAGGCGCGAAATGAAGGTCCAGATGTCTACAGTGCGGCGCATTTGTGGCCTCCAAAACTTAGCAGCAGCAGAAGCAGCGCAGCAGCTGCATCGGCTGATGCTGCCGGCTCGCCCAGACCCTCAGGACGAGCGCGAAAGCCTCCTGGTCTCTGTGCCTCCCACCCGCACAGGTAGGGTTTCGAGGGTTTAGGGTTTAGGGTTTAGGGTTTAGGGTTTAGGGTTTAGCGTTTGGGGGGCAGGGCTTGCTCGAGCGCCAGCTGCTGAGGGCCCGGGGCAACAACAGCGGGGGCCCCCAGTCAACAGAACACGCCAGAGCTGCTGCATCCAGGGGCCCCACGGGGCCCCAAGGGGCCCCAGGGGGGCCCCCAGGGGCCCCAGGGGGCCCCCAGGGGGCCCCCCGGGTAGCTGGGCCTTGTGGGCTAGAGGTTTAGGGGGCCCCGGGGCTGGTTGTGGGGTTGTTGTTGCTGCAGATGTGATGCACGAGGTGGACGTGGCTGAGGACGTGGCGATTGGGATCGGTTTTGAGACGATCCCAATAACAGTGGCCCCGAAGCTGGCCTGCAACCCTCGCTCGCTGCTGAAGCAAAGTTTGAGGACTTTGTTGGTTTCTTTGGGATTCACTGAGTGCCTCACTTTCGCCCTTTGCAGCCAAGAGGAAAACGCAGAGGCCCTCAAGAAGCCCCTCTACCCGGCCAACCAGCCCACGCCCCACTTCGACCCCCTCGAAGTGCGCTGCTGCTGCTGCTGCTGCTGCTGCTGCGCTGCTGCTGCTGCTGCGTAGGGCGGAGCAGCTGCGCAGGGAATGTGCGGTGCTCGGCTGCGCTGGTCATAGTGGCAGTGCGAGTGCCCGTGCTGCTGCTGCTGCTGCTGCTGCTGCTGTCGCTGCTGCTTCGCTTTGGAGGTGCTGCTGCTGCTGCATGGCCGGGCAGCCGCGCAGCAAATGACCTGCTGCTGGCTGCGCTTGCTGCTGCTTGCTGCAGCACCAGTGGGGAGGCATGCCCGTGCTGCTGTCGAACGCAAAGACACGGGAACTCACAGAGACGAGGACTCAGTTGCTTTCGGGACTTCTCAAGTCTCTCGCCACCAACATCGGCCGCAGGGAGATGCCCATTCGCCTCTTCGAGGTTAGCTCGGCGTGAACTCGCTAGCTAGCTAGCTAGCTAGCTAGCTAGCTAGCTAGCTAGCTAGCTAGCTAGCTGGCTGGCTAGCTAGCTGGCTAGCTAGCTGGCCAGTGGCCAGAGCAGGGAGGGTAATAGAGCTGAGCTGCGGCTGCCCCCGAAGCCCTGTGGCCACGGCATGGCTAGCTAGCCAGGCAGTTGGCTAGCTAGCTAGCTAGCTGGCTGGCTAGCTGGGCCTTTTCTGTGTTGCCTCAGATCGGAGACGTGGTGATTAGGGACGATAGAACAGAGACTGGCAGCCGCAACTTGCTGTACTGCAGCGCCGCCTTTGCTGACGAACACGGAAGCGGCCTGGAGGTGGGCCTCTTGGCAGCAGCGTCTGTGCGCTGCTGCTGCTGCTGCAGCTGCTGCTGCTGCTGTTGCTGCTGCTGCTTCCTCAGCTGGCTTCTTTTTGAGAGTGTGGCGGGTGGCGTTTGCTGGCAGTGCCTCTCCGATGCTTTAGGGTCAAGGACTTAAGGTCTAGGGTTTAGGGCTAAGGGTTTAGGGTTTAGGGTTTAGGGTTTAGGGTTTAGGGTTTAGGCAGCTCGTGTGCGCAGGAAGTGCACGGGCTGCTGGACGCGGCGCTAGAGGCCATGGGGCTTATAGGAGATTACGTGGTGGCTGAAAGACAAGCAGCAGTTGCTGCTGGCCGCGAGGAGCAGCAGGAGGCCCTCAAGACTTTTGAAAACATGCGCATTTTCTCTCTGAAGCCTACGCAGCGTGAGGCTTCGCCTGCTGCTGCTGCTGCTGCTGCTGCTGCTCTGCTGCTGGCTATCCTTTGCTGCCTGCCTGGGTTCTCCGCCCTTTGCTGCCTCAGTGCTGCTCCCTTCTTCTTTTCAGAAAATTCTCTAGGGGGACTTGGGCGAGTTCTAGCATCTTTGCATGCAGCACTTGCTGCTTTCTCGGCCTTTGTACTGCTGCTGCCTGCTGCCTGCTGCTGCTGCTGCTGCAGCTTCTGCGAGTGTGTCTGCTGTGGGGCTCTGCAGTGCCGACGTTTTTGCCCGGCCGCCAGGTGGAGATCTCTGTGAGCCGCCGGACCTTCAAGGAGCGCGGGGCTACGTTCAAGCGAACAGAAGCAGCCGCGGAGCAGCAGCAGCAGCAGCAGCAGCAGCAGCAGCAGCAGCAGACGAATGGCGCCACCCACGCAGCAGACCCCGACTGCCTCACTCTGGGCCACATGGGCACTCTGCACGTCGACTGCCTCCGCGCCTTTGGCCTTGCTGTTCCTGGTGAGAAACATTCTGCTGCTGCGCTGCGCTGGAGTTGCTTTTTGCTGCCAGAAGCTTCTGCTGCTGCTGCTAGAGGCTGCTGCTGCTGTTGCTGCTGCTGCTGCTGGAGGCAGTGAAGAGGAAGTGCGCAGGCTGAGAAGATTGAGTTTCTGGTGTCATTTTGCTGCTGCTTCTTGTTGCTGCTGCGTCTTTCTTGCTGCAGTTTCCCTTGTGGAGTTCACACTGGAGCCCTTCTTGCAATGGCTGCCAGAGACAGACCTCATATTTGCCTGAGGTCAAAAGTCTGCTGCTCTGGTGCTGCAGCAGCTGCTGCACAACTGACGCAGCCACTGCTGCAGCAGCGACTTCTGCTGCAGCTACTGCTGCTGCAGCTACAGCTGCCGCAGCTACTGCTGCATACTGCTGCAGCAGCGACTTCTGCTGCAACTACTGCTGCTGCAGCTACTGCTGCTTAAGTGCCAAGTGCCGCAGCTGATGCCGCGAAACTGCCGCAGCAGCTGCTGCAGTGGATCTCGCGCGTTTAGTGCAGCAACAACTATAGCAACTACTGCAGCAACTGCTGCAGCAGCTTCGCTTTTGTTTCTTCTTAGCGCTAAGCTGTCCGTGCAGACAAAATTTCTGATTATAACTGCACCCCACAGTCTTCCAAAGGACACTAGCAGTCCTCTGTAGCCAGTTACAAGACAGTATGCAGCAGCAGCAACGGCAGCAAGCATAAGAGAGCGGCTACGCAGCAGCAACTACGACAGCAGCTGCAGCCTGGCAGCAGCAAGGAGGAAAGCAGCAGCTAGTCAGCAGCAGCAAGGCAGCGCTAAACTTCGTACGCCACTAAGCAGCAAACCCTCGGCACAGCTGCACCCCAAGATCGACACTACAGCTGTAAGCTATCTAAACCACTTCTTCCTAAACCCTAAACCCTAAGGGTTTAGGACTTGCAACACCCCCAAACCCCGTCTGGTAAGAAGCAGCTAAAAGAGTGGAGTCTGTGGACAAATGGGGCGCAGTTCCGCGCGAGCTAGCCAGCAACTGCAGCAGCCCCGCCGCGCCTGCCCGCCGCAGCAGCAGCAGCAACTGCAGCAGCAGCAGCAGCAACTGCAGCAGCAGGATTAGGCGGAGGGGTTTCTGAATTTCTCTCCTGCGTAGGTGCAGCGGCCCTGGAGCTGCTCCTCAATGCGCAGCAGCTGGTTGTACTTGCAAAGGCGCTCGGACCTGCAGGGGGCCCCCGTTTTGATTTGGCCGGTGTGGAGGCCCACCACGAGATCGGCTATAAAAGAGTCTTCAGTTTCGCCAGACCTGTGGCTCACCATCACCCCCCAGCCGCTGGCCTGGGCCAACTTGCAGGCCTCGATGGCCTCCGAGACAGAGCCGATTTGGTTCACCTTCAGCAGCAGCGCGTTGCAGGCCTTGTGCTCCAGGGCTTTGCGGATGCGCGCGGGATTTGTGACTAAGAGGTCGTCGCCCACGATCTGCACTTTGCCGCCAATCTCGGAGGTCAGCGACGCGTAAGAACTGAAGTCGTCCTGGTCAAACGGGTCTTCTATCGACACTATCGGGAACTCCGTCGACCACTCCTTGAACAGCTGCAGCAGCAGCAGCGGCAATAGCGCAGCAGCAGCGGGAATAGTGCAGCAGCAGCAGCGGGAATGGTGCAGCAGCAGCAGCGGGAACAGTGCAGCAGCAGCAGCGGGAACAGTGCAGCAGCAGCAGCGGGAATAGTGCAGCAGCAACAGCGGGAATAGTACAACAGTAGCAGCAGCAGCGGGAACAGTTCAACAGCAGCGGGAACAGTGCAGCAGCAGCAGCAGCAGCAGCGGGAACAGCGCAGCAGCAGCAGCAGCAGCTCACGTCCTTGAGTTGTTCTCCAGTCAAGACCTTATGTGCGTCCTTGCTGCTGCTCTTGAAGTCCAAATCGTAGCTCTTGGCCTCCTTGCAGTAGAACTCCGAAGCCGCCACGTCCGCCATAATCTTGACCTTCCCCTCGTGGCCCGCGGCCTTAATGGCCTCCACCAGCAGCCCCAAAGCCTCCCTGGGGTCCTTAATGTCCGGGGCAAAGCCCCCCTCATCGCCCACGTTGGTGGCTGCCAAGCCGAACTTGGCCTTCAGCAGCCGCTGCAGCGCCTGGTAGACCTCCGCGCCCATGCGCAGCGCCTCGCGGAAACTCTCCGCCCCCACGGGCGCCACCATGAACTCCTGCATGGCCAAACTGTTCCCCGCGTGCTTGCCCCCATTTAGTACATTAAAGCAAGGCACTGGCAGCACAAAGGGGCCCCCCTCGCGGCCAGCCAGCTGGGCCACATATTTATAAAGAGGAATCCCATGGGCTGCAGCGCCGGCCCTGCAGAGGGCCATTGAAACTGCTAATATCGCGTTTGCGCCTAAGACCGATTTGCTCCACCCCCACTCGTTTTGGCTGCCGTCGAGCTCCTCCACCATCAGCCGGTCCAGCGCCCGCTGCTCGCGGCAGTCTTTGCCCACAAGTGCGGGGGCCAGCACTTTGTTCACGTTCTCCACCGCCTTCAACACGCCTGCAGCACACACAACCCGCCGCCGCTGCTGCTGCTGCTGCTGCTGCTGCTGCTGCTGCTGCTGCTGCTCGCTTACCCTTGCCGTTGTAGCGGGTCTTGTCGCCGTCGCGGAGCTCCAGGGCCTCGTATATGCCCGTGGAAGCTCCCGAGGGAACTGCAGCGCGGAAACAGCCCTGCTCCGTCTTCAGGTCCACCTCCACCGTCGGGTTCCCCCGAGAGTCTGCAGCAGCAGCAGCAGCAGCAGCAGCAGCAGCAGATGCAGCAGCAGCGGGGTGTTGCTGCCTGCTAAGGCTGTCCGAAGCCACGAGCGGGGGTGTGGGGTGTATGTACACCGCAAATGGGCCAAGCAAGCAAACTCAAAACACTCAAAGACACCAACCAGGGCGAGGCGGGGGGAAGCCCAAGGCGCCCTGGGAGGCCGTGCACACGGCGAAGACGCCAGCCCGTCGCCGCTGCAGCAGCAGCAGCAGCAGCAGCAGCAGCAGCAGCAGCAGCGACGAGAGAGACACGGGCAGACACGAAGCACGCAGAGCCGAAGACCCGCGAGGAGGCAGCAGGAGACACAGGGGACTTGCTGAAGTGTGCAGCGAGAAAAGCTCACCCAAGATTTCCCTGGCCTTGACCTCTACTATGGCCACCATCTTCGCTGGGACTGTCGGCTTCAAAAGCTTAATAAAAGACGCTAAGGGCCCACGAAATAGACAAGGAATATTCATGTGCGCAGCAGCAGCAGCTGGAGAGACACCCGGACACCCCACTCGACGCAGCGAGCGTAGGTAGTGCTGCTGCTGCTGCTGCTGGGGGGCTGCTGCTGCTGGCGCCGCCGCTGCTGTCGGCTCGGGGCTGCTGCCCTAGGCAAATCAACTAAATCCTTTATTCCTCCCGCCTTCTCTTCCCCAAAATCGCAGCCCTTTTTCTCTCTTTCAAAGCCCTGGGCAGCTCGCTGCAGTCGCTGCCGCTGCTTCCAGGTGTACGTACACCCCAGCGCAGCAGCTGCATCGGCGTCGCACCCCGCGCACTCCGCGCGGCGCCACGTGCCGCGCGAAAGCGAGCGCGTTTGAAATAATAATTAAAATCCATTTCATTTCAATTCTTCTAACGCACTCGAACGCTCCACCCAGCGAAGTACTGCCCGCAGTCGCCAGCGGGCGGCCAGTGCCGCCCGCAGCATGCACTGGCTTCCCCCGAACTTCTCCCCTTAGCCCGTTGCTGCCCCCAGAAAGCTCCCCCGGGCCTTCCCCCCAGGCCTTCTTAGTTCACTTCTTCGTGCATGCATGCATGCATGCCGTCTCGTCTGTCTTTCCCCCAAAGTGGGAGTGCCTGGCAAGTGCCCAGCCGGCTCAGCCCAGCTCTCAGTCTCGCGCAATTCGCTGCAACTCCCAGCGCCCCAGGGGCCCCCTCTAGCCTCACAGAGTTCCCCCAGACTCCCTAGGGGCAGCTGGGCCCAGAAGCGGGGCAGCCCTGCGCCGTTGCGAGCTGCTGCTGCTGCTGCTGCTGCTGCTGCTGCGCCCCACAGATCGCAGCCAGTGCATGCAGAAGCAAGCCACGCACACGCACAGCACAGCCGCTTCCAGGGGCTTAGGGGGCCCCACGCAGCACATTCTGCCCCGGCTGGAGCTGCACCTTAGTGAGATTCCCAAACCCAGCAGCACACACAGCAGCAGCAGCTGCTGCTGCTGCTGCTGCTGCTGCTGCATGCATAAGGCGTTAAGGCCTGCAGCCTGGCCTGGGGGCTTTAATGACAGCACGCTGCAGTTAACAAAACAAATAGCCAATAGTTCTGCAGTTGTAGAAGTGCAAGAATATAATTTGTAGTTATAAGAGAGTCAACAGCAGCAGCAGAAGCCTGCGGAGGCCCCCTGGAGGCTTCTTACGAACCTGTGGGCTGCTGCAGCTGCGTCGCTGTTGACTTCTGCCCAGCTGCTGCTGCTGGTACTGCTGCTGCTACTGCTGCTGCTGCTGCTGCTGCTGCTGCTGCTGCATTTGTTTCCCCAGTGTCTGCGCCTATAGGAGCGGCAGAGGCAGCAGCTTCTTGCATAGAGAAGCAGCTTTCAAGGGCCAGTCGAGGGTTTAGGGTTTAGGGTTTAGGGTTTGGGCTTGGGGCCTGGGGGGCCCATTAAAAGCGCCTTTAAAGTACAAGGCCTATAGTGGAAGGTAGCGAGGGCCCCTCACTCCAGAGAAAGGCACTGGGGGCCCCTCATTCTAGAGAAGGCACTGGGGGCCCCTCATTCTAGAGAAGGCACTGGGGGCCCCTCATTCTCGAGAAGGCACTGGGGGCCCCTCACTCTAGAGAGAGGCACTGGGGGCCCCTCGCTGGCTGTGGGCCCCAGTGTGAGGAAGGGGGCCCCAGGGCTGCTCGCAGCAGCACTGTGCATGCACTGTTATGTGTGGGGCCCCACTGGGCCCTAATTTGGGGCTTTCTATCTCCCCTAAGCAGAGCTGGCTAGGACTCATAAAGCCCCTGAGATGCTCTGCTGCCACTCCCCGCTAAGCTACAGCTTGGGGCTACACGCTGCTGCTGCTGCTGCTGCTGCTGCTGCTGCTGCTGCTGCTGCTGCAAAGGCCCTCAAAGAAAAAAGCTGCAGCTTTGTCTGTGTGGGGGCGGCCGGCCTGCCGGCGCCCACAAGCTGTCCTCTCTGGGGCCAGAACAGCGAGCTGCTGCCCCTGCCAGCGAAGTGTGGGGCCCCGGGGCCCTTTGGGGGGCCCCGGGGGCCTTCGTGGGGTCCTGGGGCCTTTTGTGGGGCCCCGGGGCCCTTTGTGGGGCCGCGGAGGCCTTTGTGGGGCCCCCGAGGCATTTGGGGGGGCCCCCGGGGCCTCTAGCTTCTCAGTTGGCTTCATTTCGAGCAAAAGTGGAAAAGCAACTGACAGATGCAACGCAAGGAGGGGCCCCCGGGGCCCCCGGGCCCCGGGGGCCCCTGTTGCCCGGGGGGCCCCCGGGGGGCCCCCGGGGGGCCCCGGGGGCCCCCCGAGCAACAAAAGGGGGCCCCCAGATGCCCGCTCACCAGACGCTGCTCTTCTTAGTGGAGATGTCCGGCAGCAGCGCGTTGGCCCTGTGAAGTGTGGGGTTGAGGGCCTCGTTTGCTGCTGCTGCGTCTGCGCTGTCGAGCACGTCCAGTGGACCACCCGGGGGGCCCCCCCCAGAGCCAATGGCCGGGGGAACGTAACCACTGGACAAGGCGGGGGCTGCGGGTCTCAGGCGAAACTCCGCACTCAAAAAGTCCGCCCAGCTGACGCCGCCTGCGCGCAGGGCACACACACTTGCTGCTGCTGCTGCTGCTGCTGCTGCTGCTGCTGCTGCTGCTGGGTGGGCTCCCGTGTTGGGGCCCCTGTGCATGCAGCTGGAGAGAGACTTACTTCTGTGCAGGGACCCGTCTGCGGCCTCGAGAGTGGCCCCCAGGAGCCGCATGCTCCCCACTTGCCACAGGGCCAGCTTGCTGAGGGGCCCCCTCGAGGGGCCCCTCGAGGGGCCCCTCGAGGGGGGCCCCCCCTCCGCGACTTCGGCCAGCCGCAGGGAGGCCCCCGCCTGGTGAACCCACTTTGCGGGGACGCAGCGCACAGCATTTGGCGGCGGAGTCTCATTGCCTTTTGTGGCAACAATTCCCACGGCCACGAAGAGGGAAGAGGGGGGCACTGGGGCCCACAAGGTGAGGGGGCCCCCGCCGCCGGGGGGCCCTGGGGGCCCCCCCGGGGGGCCCCCCGAGGGGCCCCCCGGCCCCGCCCCAGAACCCTCCGGAGGGTTCAGCAGCAGCATTGCCTGGGACACACTTTCCCGCCACAAAACTTTGTACTTGACGGGAAGAGGAAAGAGACAATCCAAAGCTCTTGAGAGCTCTGTGCTCTCGGCCATAGATGAGCAGCCAGAGTCTGTGGCCTCGAGAATGAGGGGGGCCCCCCCGGCGCCCGCTGCTGCTGCTGCTGCTGCTGCTGCTGCTTGCTGCTGCGCCTTCGAGATGTCGCTGCCCAGGCAAATGAAGTGGCCCAAAGGCACTCGCTCTCTGTTGCGGCGCATCATGCCGCGGTGCCTGCCTTCCAGCTGCTTGGGGGCCCAAATCGAGAACACTGCGCTCCCGCTGCTGCTGCTGCCGCTGCTGCTGATGCTGCTGCTGCTGATGCTGCTGCTGCTGATGCTGCTGCAGTTGGCGCACGGCAGCCGGCCCACCCAAATCCTGTCAAATGAAGTGTGCGGCTGCAGCCGGAACTTGAGTCGACCCACCAACTCTGCAGGCAGCGTTTCTTTGACTCCCCACTGCTGCAGCAGCGACTGGTGATTTGCTGCTGCAGTTGAGGCGTCCCCCGAGAGCGCAGCAGCAGCAGCAGCAGCTGCTGCTGCAGCGCCTGCGCCGTCGTCGAAGGACTCGCTGCGCTGCTGCCGGAGCTGCAGGTCAGCCGGCGCGCCGGCCGCCTGAGCTGCAGCGCCGGCGTCTGCTGCAGCAGCGTCGCTGTTTGCTGCTGCAGCAGCAGCAGCTGCTGCTGCTTCCCCGCCGATCTGCCCCACGGTGAGCAGGAAGTCGTTGAGGCTGATGAAGCCGTCGCCGTCTATGTCGAAGTGCCTGCAGACGTGAGTCTGCTGCTGCTGCTGCAGCTGCAGCCCCAGCCACTTCATGCCAGCAGCAAGCTGCGCCTCAGTCAGCTGCCCCCGATTAAGAACATCAAACAACCTGAAAGCTTCTGAAGGCAGCAGCCGCTTCTTCCTGAGGCGCTCCCGCAGCCGCGCCACGAGGGCCCTGTGCTGCAGCAGCTGGGGGCCCCCCTCTGCTGCTGCCAGCAGCCGGGCCACTGGCTGCTGCTGCCAGGCCACGTTTTGCTGCCGCCGCCTGCAGCGGCGAATCGAGAAAAAGAAGTCCTGCCGGTCCTTGCAAGGCACTGCAGCAAGGACCCCCTGCAGCAGCAGCAGCTGCGGCTCGGAGTACAGCAAGCTGCTGTCCAGGAAGCGCAGGCAGGCGTGCGCCGTTTGCTGCTGCAGTCCTGCTGCAGCAGCAACTTTCTCCTCCCGCCTGTGAAACAGCGGAGACCCATCCACCACGGCGAAGCTGGCAGTCACGTTGTGCAGACACACAGCCACGCGGTGTCCCGTCACCAGAGACTGCAGCTGCTGCTGCTGCTGCTGCTGCTGCTGCTGCTGCTGCTGCCGCTGCCGCGCATGCAGCGCAGCGCGAACAGCCTCGCCCTCTGCAAGAGTTAAAACCACAAAATAGCGGCCTCGCTGCTCAGCGCAGAACGGCGACTTCCCGAGTGCTGCTGCCAATTCCGCCAAAGTGAAGTGCAGCTCTTCCTGCTGCTGCTGCTGCTGCGGGGATAGGGGCTGCTGCTGCTGCTGCGGGGATAGGGGCTGCTGCTGCTGCTGCGGGGATAGGGGCTGCTGCGGCGGCATTTGGAGTGAGAATGCTGGGGCTGCAGATGCCTCTCGAGCCGCGGGGGGAAAGGACGAGGAGGAGAGCAGGCTGCGCTGCTGCTGCTGCTGCTGCTGCTGCTGCTCGAAGGGCGCAGCAGGCATTTCAAAGAGGCCTAGCAAGTCGCTTGGCTCCTTTGAGCTGCGGGACGAAGAAGGGACAAAGGGAAGAGAGGCAGCAGAGTCTGTGGCCTTGCTGCTGCTGCTGTCTCTTGTTTGCGAAAGAGACACAAATAAATCGGCTAGAGGATCAGCAGCCTGCTGCTGCTGCTGCTGATTTGAGGGAGGCAGGGGCTGCCACAGGTTCTGCAGCACGGACAGTTGCTGCGGCTGCTTCGCAGCAGCAGCAGCAGCAGCAGGCAGCGGCGCGCATGCAACTGAGGGCTGCGGGAGCCCCGGCGTGTCCCTGCAAATGGCTGCTGGAGGCGTTGCTGCCCTGCAAGGACTCCCAGCAGCAGCAGCAGCAGCAGCAGCAGCAGGGGGAGCAGCTGGGTGCCCCGCAGCTGCGCGCTGCTGCAGCACGAGAGCCTTGACGTAGGCACAGAGGGCGTCAGCAGCAGCAGGAACAGCAGCAGGCAGCAGCAGCGCCCCGAGAAAGTCTGGCAAGTCTCTCTCAGCAAGTGTCTTGGTTTCTTCTCCAGCGAAGCTCTGGAAGGCCTGCTGCAGCTGCTGCTGCTGCGCTGCACTGAGCCCGTCGGGGCTGCGGCGGAGGGCCCCCTGGGGAGGGGCCCCCGGGGGGGCCCCCCAGGGGGGCCCCCCCAGGGCCTCCTCCCAGTCCGGCAGCCACTGCATTGCAATAATGACATTCTTGAGGCGGCGAGGAGCAGAAGAAAGGACCCATTCCCCTCTGTAGTAGTTGCTGCTGATGAGGAGGTAGGGGGGGAAGGGCAGCCCGGTTGCTGCGCCTGAGACGGGGCCGCCTGCGACGGCTGCTGCTGCTGCTGCTGCTGCTGCTGCAGCGCCCGAGCCCCGGTGCTGCTGCATGCGCGCCAGCTTCTGCTGCAGCGCCGAGGCCACTGAAAAACGCGCAGAAGGGTAAAAGCCTTGAGTCTCTTCTTGAGGCGGCAGCGACAAAGTCTTCAGCAGCCAAGGCCGGGGGGCCTCATCAGCTCGCGTGTAGTTAAGAGGTGCTGCTTCTTCGCTTTCCCGCACCACTTCCTCCTGCTTCTCCTGCTCGATCTCTTGCTGCTGCTCCTGCAGCAGCAGCAGCAGCAGCAGCAGCAACAACGGGGGCTGCGAGTGCAGCAGCTGCGGCACGAGCAGCAGCCACTGGAGTGGCTGCAGCACCGGCAGCAGCTCGTGCAGCGGCACTACGGGCAGCAGCAGCAGCACGAGCAGCAGCAGCTATGTGCAGCAGCAGCGCAAGCCGCAGCAGCAGTTCTCAGCAGCTCCGTACCTGCTCCTCTTCTTGCTGCTGCTGCTCCTCCCCCTCGATTTCAGCTTCAAGGCCCTCCATCCTTAGAGCATCTCCATCTATGTCTCGGCTCTCTCCTTTTGCTGCGTGTCTTCTTGCTGCTGCTTCTTCTTCCTGCAGCTCTGAGATCAGCTTGTCGATGAGGGCTTTGCCCACGAGGATCGGGGCAGCTTGCGCTGAAGCAGCAGCAGCAGCAGCTGCTGCTGCTGCTGCTGCTTGGGGTGTTTTGGCGGCGCGCGCTCGAGGCGTTGCTGCTGCTGCTGCTGCTGCTGCTTCGGGCGCCTGCAGCAAGTCGGCGTGCTGCAGCGCGAGCTGCCGAATTCGGAAGCTGAGGGGCAGAGACAGAGGGACAGAAGCAGGCAAAGAGAAGTCTAGAGACTCGAGAAAAACCCCAAGAGCTTGCTGCGTCTGTGGGGCAGCAGCTTCAGTCCCCAGAGATGCATGCGTTTCCTTCAAAATGGCCAAAGCTGCTTTCCTCCATACATTGCATGCGCTTTGCATGCACAGCAGCCGCTGCTGCAGACACTCCTGGGCGATTTGCCGCGAGACGAGCCAGCCGCAAATCTCGCCCAGCAGGGAGCAGCCGGGGGCCAGCTGCTGCTGCGGCTGCTGCAGCAGCAGCTGCTGCTGCTGCTGCGGCGGCGGCGGCGGCGGGAAGAGCGGGACCGAAGGCAAAGTGGCCCCCACTAGACTCGCGTGCTTCTCTATTAAAGCAGCAACTCCAGGAGGGATTAAATAATGCAAAGTTTGTCCCCTTCCAAGTCCCCGCATGCGAAAAGCCCCTTGGGCCACATCTCGAAAAGTGCAGTCTTTGCCCACTGTCAAAAACGCCCTGCCGTCCGCCGCCTGCCGTATGTCCTGGGCACGCAGCAGCAGCAGCAGCAGCAGCAGCAGCAGCAGCAGCGGGCCGCATCAGCAAGCAGCAGCAGACGACAGCACGCAGCAGGAGGAAACAGCAGGAGGAAACAGCAGCAGCACGCAGCAGCATGCAACACACAGCAGCACAACGCAGCAGCAGCAAGCAGCAGCAGCCCAACCCAACAGCAGCAGCAGCAGCCCACCCCAACAACAGCAGCAGCAGCAGCACACAGCAGCAGCAGCAGCAGCACAGCGCAACAGCCCCAGCAGCAGCCGAACCCAGCAGCAGCAGCGCAGCCCAACCCAGCAGCAGCAGCAGCAGCAGCAGCAGGAGCAGCAGGAGGAGGGGCTTGCCTGTCCCGTGGTGTGGACGTGGTCGTAGAAGGAGAAGCGTTTGTCCACGGCAATGCCGCACTGGGCCAGCTGGAGGATCTGCCCGCCGTTTCTGCAAAGAACCATTTGGCGGTCTTTGCTGTCGAGGAAGACCACCCCCTCGTGGGGCAGCCCGTGCTGCAGCAGCGCGCGGGCCACTTGCAAGTTGCTGAGGCCGGAGACGAGGGCCCCCGCGTCCACGAGCGCATGCACGGGGGGCTGCTGCTGCGCAGCCACGCGCTGCAGCAAAGAAGCCACGGTCCAGTTTGTGGGCAGCACTTCCAGCGAGACCACGGCCGGCGAGCTCAGCAGCAGCAGCAGCTGCCCGTCGGTCCCCGCCTCGTAGCAGCAGCAGCCCATTTCTGCTGGCAGCAACTCCGAGGGGGTCCCCGAGAAGCCCAGACGCACTCCAAACAGGCTGTCGCCCCCCAGCTCTTGGCCAGAAGCTGACAGCTGAAAGCCAGAGTGTTCAAGAACTGATGGCATTACTTTTCGAAACAAAAAGGCGGCTATGGCCAGCGGCTCCTTCCGCAGCAGCCTGTACACGCACTCCAGGTGCTCCCGGTCCGTCAGACTCACCATCTCCAGCGGGTACATCTTCTCAAACTCCTCCCCTGCTGCTGCTGCTGCTGCTGCTGCTGCTGCTGCAGCGGCTGCACTGCCCGCCAGCGACTCGCTGGGCCGTCGGGCCTCCCCTCCGTCTTCCCCCGCGTTCCCGCCGGTCTCTTCGATCCCCGCAAAAGGGTCCGCCCGCTCTCGGCCCAGCCCCTGCTGCTGCTGCTGCTGCTGCTGTTGCTGCTGCTGCTGCAGCAGCAGCAGCTGGCGGCGGGCGTCGCTGGCCAGGGCGGCGAGGTCTTGCTGCCACTCGTGGGCCCGAGGCCGCACGCGGTGCAGCCCGCGGACTCTGCCGCCTGCAGCCCACACCCAGTCCGCGAATTCGCGGGCGGGGGCCCTCGAGGCGGGGGGGCCCCCCGAGGCCTCCTGGCGGGCCAGCTGGTCCGCCAGGAGGGCCCCCAAGTCCTCGCGGCGCAGCCCCTGGTACCTGTAGGCCAGAATTGTGAGGCCTATTAAGACATCGGGGTGGGAGAACTCCGAAGCTGGAGAGGGAGCATCTTTGCCGAGAAACGGAACTGCCAGCAGCTGCCGACTCCGAGACAAAGCCCCCAACAACAGACCCTCCTCCACCTCCTCAGACGTCAGCAGCCCGTAGCTGCACCGCAACCAGCAGCAGCAGCAGCAGCAGCAGCAGTACGCGCCAGGGGCTCGAAAATACGGGCCAGAGACACAAAGCATCTAGTGCTGCAGCTGAAGACTTTGAAGTGCAGGAGGCAACTTTGGAAAAGTTTTAAATGTTCTCGACATTCTGCACAAATGCACTCTAAAGTCTTTTCCTGTGTTTGTCTTGGAAGGATTTTGTGTGTGTACAAGAGCTTCTTTATATTTGCATGTCAGTGCTGTTGTAGGTATGCATATGCTTAAGTGCTTCTTTATATATTTATGCATATAAGTGCTTCGGTACAAATACATATACATAGGAGTGCTTCTGCATAATATATATACATATATGTATATATATATTGTACATATAAATGCTTTTCTCTGTATATAGATAATATATATGTATATATATATGCATATATATATATGCATATTGTACATATAAATGCTTTTCTCTGTATATAGATAATATCCATGTAGATATATGAAAGTGTATCATCTGTATATGCATACATACATGTGTGTGTGCCACTAAAGATATAGGTGTACAAATATTATACATATAAAGAAGCAATTTATTACATAACTCTGCAGTCAAACGCACTTATTTGCAGGCATAAGCGGGGCTTTACACACAAGCACATGCGGCTAAGTGTCTATTATATTTAATTGAAAAAGGGCGCAGAGAGAACAGAAATAAATTAAAAATAAAAAGAAACAGAAAGAAATAAAGATAGAGGAAGAGAAAGAAAGGAGAGGAAAACGAAAGAAAGAGACTGAAAAGATGCAAAGGCAAACTCGCATGCAGAGGCACTGCTGCAAACGCCGCAGCAGCCCCAGCCCAGCCTCTCTGAGGCTTTCTCTGGGCCATTTCGAGCAGCAGCAGCAGCAGCAGCAGCAGCAGCAGCAGTGAGCTGCTACGTGCAGAGTGCATGCAGCGAGGCAGAAAGAAGAGAGGAGGGCAGCAGCAAGGAGAAGCAGCAGCAGCAGAAAAGAAGACAGAAAAAGCGAGTGGAAAGGAAGGCAGGAGCGAAGGCGCAGCAGCAGCAGCAGCAGCAGCAGCAGCAAAAGCAGCTTTCTCACTGCACTCTGTTGGCCTTCTGCAGCGCATGCGGCAGCAAAGAACACAGCCACTCCCGAGCCAAGTTCAGAGTCTTCAAGTGAAACTCTGGCAGCCTTTCCACTGCATCAAAAAGTCCAGAATAGAGGCCCCCCCCAGTTTCCAGCGAGCCTGCAGCGGGGTTTGAGGGGCAAATGTGCAGCGGCAGCAGCTGCAGCAAGCAGCAGCACACAGCAAGCAGCACGCAGCAGCAGCTGCAGCAGCAAGCAGGCAGCAGCGCCAGCAGCAGCAGCGCCAGCAGCAGCAGCAGATGCTGCTGCTGCTGCTGCTGCTGCTTCGGTTGGGGCCGCCACCAAGCAGCAAGTCCCAGCGTTTTAGTGCTTTTTATTTTCTGCATCTGTTTTCGTGGTTCTGTCTGCTGTGTCTGTCTCCTAAGGGCCCCTAGGCAGCTCTGGTGCTGCTTCTTTCTTGTGCTGCAGCTGCTGCTGCGCTGCAGCTGCTGCTGCGTGCTCACAATGTACTGCTGCTGCTGCTCCTGGGAAAGGCCCGTGAGCTTCTTGAGGCGAAAGAAAAGGCCCAGCCAGGGGGCCAGCAGCGGCTTGAGGTTGTCGTGGTACCAGGCGGGGGACAGCAGCAGCAAATGGGGACTTTGCTGCAGCGCCTTTTGCTGCACTCCCTGCTGCAGCTGCCGCCGAATCAGCCCCAGCAGCCGCCAAGTCTCCGCAGTGCCAGTGCAGGAAACAGTTGTTTTCCCGCTGCACCCACAAAGACACAGCACCTGCTGCTCCCTTGCTGCTGCTTCTGCGGGGCCTCGCTGCTGCAGCGGCGGGCCTCGGCTCGCAACAGCAGCAGCAGCAGCAGCAGCAGCAGCAGGCTGCAGCGTACCTGTAGAAGTAGAAAATTGCGTCGAGGAGAAACCAGGGAAGCTGCCAGCGCATGCCCTCGTCATCTTCGAAGAGCCACTGCAGCGGCTGTTCAGTTTGTCTGGGGGAAATGAGGGGTTCGGTGACGCCGTCGGCAGCAGCAGCAGCAGCGGCAGCAGCGGCAGCAGCAGCAGCGGACTGCTGCTGGCCGAGCTGCAGCGGGGCCCCGGGCCGCTGCTGCTGCGGCCCCGCAGCAGCAGCAAAGCCCTGCTTGGCCGTGAAGTCCAGCGGCTGCCTCGGGCCCAGCGGCCAGTGCAGCTCACTCTTCAGAGGCTGCAGCACTTCATCAATTTCGTCAATTATTAAAATTCCATTTTTGAACAACTCCAACACCCGCAGCGACATGTCCAGCTGCCGCCGGCAGCACCGCAGCTGCTGGTCACTCAGCAGCTGCGGGGCCCCCAGCGCCGACGCCTCCAGCCCCTCCAGGGGCCCCCCTGCTGCTGCACACACACGCACCGCCCCCCGCTGCTGCTGCTGCTGCTGCTGTGGCTGCTGCTGCTGCTGCTGCTGCTGCTGCTGCTGCTGTGGCTGCTGCTGCTGCTGCTGCTGCTGCGGGTGACTGACCGGCTTTGGGCATTCTGAGGAGCTTGGAGAAGTGGGACTGGAGTTTTCTGAGGTGGGAAGCGCCGATGTTCTCCACGGCAGTGAGGCCCCTCTCGAGGGCCCCCTTTGCTGCAGCACCTGCTGCTGCTGCCTGCAGCACGTGCATGAGGTGGAGGGCCTTCAGCAAAAAGGACTTGACGGCTGTGGGGGTGGCAATGACGATCCCGCGGCTGTCCCGCGTCTGCAGCAACTTGAGGTAAAGAGCAGCAGAGACTTCGTCTTGTCTCGAGAAAGAAAGAACGAAAACTCCTTTTTGGAAAATGGCGCTGAAGCGCTCCCGCAGCGCAGCACGCGAGAAGTGCAGCAGCGCAGCAGGAACCACTGACACCACCAGCTGCTGCCCGTCCGCCAGCAGCAAAGCCAGCAGCGGCGCCACCACTGTTGTTTTCCCAGCCCCCATTATCATTTGGTGGCACAGCGAGCGCCCGGCCTTCACGCTTTCTCGAAACTGCTGCAGCAGCAGCACCTGCGACCGCCGCAGCAGCAAACTGTACGCGAATTCAAACACCAGGTAGCGCGGGTCGTACAGCGCCCCGGCTGCTGCTGCAGCAGCCCCCGGGGCAGCAGCTGCTGCACCCGGCTCCCGTGCTGCAGCAGCAGCAGCAGCAGCAGCAGCAGCAGCGGCGGCGGAGGCCGGCAGCTCGCGCATGTAGTGCCGCTCGCTGCTGACGAGCTCGGCAACAGACTGGGCCTTCATGTGCAAAGCAGGCACGGCCTGCGACAGCAGCCGCCGCATTGCGGGGCCTGCTGCTGCTGCTGCTGCTGCTGCTGCTGCGGGCGGCGCTGCTGCTCTCGCCACAAAGCCCCCCGGAGCCACGCGCTGCTGCAGCTGCAGCTGCTGCTGCTGCTGCTGCTGCTGCTTGCTGTCTTCCTGGGCTGCCACTCGGGCGCGAGTGGAGAAAGTCTTCAGCAGCTGCATCAACTCAACTGTCGCCTGCAGGCAGCGGCAGATTTGGGCGCGGCGGTTCACCGCCAGCATCACCGCCCCCACAAGACTCAGGATGTCTTGGACGACTTCTGCGCAGCAGCCACAAACAGCAGCAGCAGCAGCAGCAGCAGCAGCAGCAGCAGCAGCGCGAACGTGAGCTCACTGTGGACGCCTGGCCACATGGCGCTCTGCGCGCTGGCGCTTGCTGCTGCACTGAACCACAAAGTCGCCTGCTGCTTATCCAGCAGCTGAAGCGCAGCAGCAGCTGCCTGCTACCTCCTGTTGCCTCCTGCGCAGCCGCTGCAGCAGCTGCTGCTGCAGCGGCAGCAGCAGCAGCAGCAGCAGCAGCAGCGCTTGGCGCGGCTTACTTGGGGTGAGGAAAGGGTTGAGGAGCAGCAGAATCTGCTCCGCGTGCTTGGACATGGAAAGAGACACGAGAGAGTCGAAGGAAACTGCTGCTTCAGTTCCTGCTGCTCTTCCTAAGGCAAAGGCCCACTGCATGCAGCGCAGCCTCCAGGGGCTGACATCTTTGCTGTCGATTTCTTCTTGGCGCTGCATCGCTTCCAGCAGCAGCTCGTTCTGCTGCTGCTGCTGCTGCTGCTGCTGGTGCTGCTGCTGCGGCTCGACAGCAGCAAAGTCCAGCCCCTCCACGTGAGCCACCAAGGCCTGCAGCAGCCGAATGCCCCGCTCAGTGAAGCGCCCGTCCTTAAGAAAGCCCTGCAGCAGCCGCTGCCGCAGCGCAGCCAATTCGGAGACTCTTGCTGCTAGGCAAGACGGAGACAGCAGCAAAGCTGCAATCTCTTCCTCCCGGAAGCCTGAGAGGCAAAGGCGGCGGGAGCTTTGCTGCTGCTGCAGCACAGCGACACCGCACACAACCCCGCAGCAGACACTACGCAGGAAGCACAGCAGCAGCAGCAGCAGCAGCAGCAGCGGTTTCGCGCCGCTCCCGCTGCCGCTGCAGCAGCAGCTGCAGCAGCAGCAGCAGCAACAGCAGCAAGAGGGGGCCGACCTGCTTGGCGTGGGCCTCGACCTCCTTTTGAAGCCTCGCAATGGTCTTCTTTCCTATGCTTGTGGAGGAGACGGGATCGAGAGTTAAGTCAAAGGGCAGGCGGCCCTGCTGCGCCCCTGGGCCTGCTGCAGCAGCAAAACAGACAACTGTGGGGCCCACAACTGTCTCCAGGGGCTTCCTGATGAGGGCCCCCAGCAGCTCGGGCCCCACAACCACTTCTCGCGCGACTGCTGCTGCTGCTGCGCGGGCCTCCCGCAGCTGCTCCTGCTGCGACGCGCCGCAGCTGCTGCTGCTGCTGCTGCTGCTGCTGCTGGCCGCAGCAGCAAAGGCCTGCGCAGCTGCAGCCTCCATGACGTGGGCGTACTGGGCGCCATCGACTGGCAGCAGCAGCCGGCCTTCGCAAGAACAATCTGCTGCTCGAGGAGACACAAGGAGACGCCGCGTCCAGTGCGAGGCCCCGAAGACCTGTGGAGACACACACCCCGCAGGCAGCAGCAGAGATCAGCTGCTGCTGCTGCTGCTGCTGCTGCTGCTGCTGCTCCTGGGCCCGCAGGGGCCCCCGTGGGCGGCAGCAGGCGCCGCCGCTAGAGCCCTTTGTAGCTGCTGGGTCCCCGCAAAAGGCGTTTTGCCTCTTTTGAGGCCCCCCGCCAGTCGCAGCGCTCCCGCTGCTGCTGCTGCTGCTGCTGCTGCTGCTGCTGCTGCTGCTGCTGAGCCGGGAGTGACGCACCGCAGTGGAGTGGGGCAAAGGACCTAGGAGGCCCTCGGGGGCCACGGGAGGCAGCCGAAGCTGCGCTGTGTCTCTCAAGTGCAGCAAAGCCTCAGTGATGTCCTTAAAGAGCTGCTGCAGCGGCTCGGGGGAGCGAAAGGCCAGGCCCAGAGGAAGGCGGGACTTCTTCTCCTCCTGCAGCTGCGGGAAGCTGCCAGCTAGCTGCGGGTTGGCCAGCAGCAGCCGCAGAATGGACTGCAGCCGGCCTTTGCTGCGGAGGTCCCACGCGGGCAAGCAGCGCAGCAGCAGGGCCCCCCACAGCCGGGGGGCCTCCCCGGGGGCCACCCGCAGCGGGAGGCTGTCCGTCAGCAGCTCGTACAGCAGCAGGAAGTCTGCAGTCTTGGGGCCCCTCTCGAGGGTCTTGTGCACGAAGTCGAGGCCCTCGGGGCCCCTCAGGGCCTCCTCCTCGGGCCTCCGGTACACCAGGGGGCCCCCGCACGCCTCCGCCAAGGCTGTCAAGCAACTCAGAGGCTCCAAAGCTGTCAAGTCTTCTACAGAGTCGAAGTCCTCCACATGCGGGGGGGCTGGACAGCCTATGCGCACGGCCTGCACCCCCTCGGCCTGCAGCAGCAGCCCCAGCCCTTCGGGGCCCGGGGGGCCCCCGGGGCCCCCGGGGGCCCCGGGGGCCCCGGGGGCCCCCGCAGCAGCAGCAGCGGCGGCGGGCGGCTGCAGCAGGGCCTCGAGGACGGCGACTCTGTTGGCGAGCTCGGGGAGGGACTGGGGGGGGCCCCCCTGGCAGAGGCGCAGCAGCGCCAACTCCTCAGAAAGAGGCAGCCGGCAGCCCGCAGACACAAACTGCTGCCTGCGAACATAAGCCAAAAGGTCCCGGGCCAGCGGCCAAGAGGCCTCCACGCGGGCCCCGCTGCGGCTGCATGCAGGGGCCTCTCCGAGGAGGCTTTTGTGGGATCGGCCGACTCCCCAGGGCCTCGCGAGGAGGCCCCCGAAGCGCTTCTTCCAGTGCGCGCTGCGGGCGCGGCCGCCCCCGGACTCCCCCTGCTGCTGCTGCTGCTGCTGCTGCTGCTGCTGCTCGCCCGCGGCGGCCTCGCTGGGCTGCGGAGTCAGCCCCTGCCGGCTCGCAGCCAGCCACAGCCGCAGCCGCGCAGCAACCGCGTCGGGGTGGGGGTCTTCGCTTCTGCTCATGACTGCGTTGATGAGTTTCCAGATCTCGCCCTCCTCGCCCAGGCCTGCTGCTGCTGCTGCTGCATCCCTGCTGCTGCTGCTGCTGCTGCTGCTGCTGCCGCCGTCCTCCTCCGACAGCGACAGCGAGTCCGCCAGCGCGCAGACCGCCTCGAACTGCCTGCTGAGGTACCGCAGCAGCAGCACGTAAAGCCCAGCAGCAACTGTCGGAATAAACAAAAAAGATCGAGATGCATGCAAACTGCACAAGAAGTGCCGCGCCCCTCGAAACGAAGACAGCCAGCTGCTCTCCGAAGGGTCAAACACCACTTCCGGAGTCGCGCAGTCCAGCACCTGCGCACAGGGGCCCCGGGGCCCCACACCACACACCCCCACCCTTCAGCACACGCCCGCCACCCAGCTAGCTGCCAGCTAGCTGCCAGCTAGCTGCCAGCTAGCTGCCAGCTAGCTGCCAGCTGGCTCACAGCTAGCTCACAGCTAGCTGCCAGCTAGCTGCCAGCTAGCTGCCAGCTAGCTCACAGATAGCTCACAGCTAGCTGCCAGCTAGCTGCCAGCTAGCTCACAGCCAGCTGCCAGCTAGCTGCCAGCTAGCTCACAGCTAGCTGGAGCTAGTGGGCAGCTACAGGGCAGCGAGAGGGCAGCCAGAAGGCAGCTAATGGACAGCCGGAGGCCAGCTAACTGGCAGCTAGTAGGCAGCTAGAGGGCACCTAGAGGGCAGCTAGCTAGCAGTTAGAGGGCAGCTAGCTGGCAGCTAGCTGGCAGCTAGCCGGCCGCTAGCTGGCCATCATCAATGCGCTCCTGCGTGAGGGCAAGTGGCTTCCTAGCACGGAGCTACGGCGGTTTAGGCCGGCGAAAAAAAACAGCAAAAGGGACAGAATTAACTAGACCAGCAGCAGCACAAGCAGTGTTTTTGCTGCTGCAGCTCACCAGGTCTGCCTGCAGCAGCAGCCGCTCGTCGACTTCGCGCTGTCGCTGCGCTGCTGCCCACGGGTTGAACGAGTTGACAGCAGCAGCAGCAGCAGCAGCAGCAGCAGCAGCAGCAGAGGCGCCGCCAGAAGGCTCCTGCGGGGCCAGCAGCAAATCCCTAGCCAGAGGGTTGCGCAGCACTCTCAAGGGCTTGTTCGAAGCAGCAAGCAGCAAAAAGAGTTCCCCCTCGTCATTCGACAGCAGCAGCGAAGGCTGCAGCCCCTGCAGCACTCGGGAGGCCAGCGGCGAGCGCAGGATGTCGCCCGAAGCCAGAAACAACCCTGCGTGCTGCTCGCACACAAACTTCACCTGCGGCGCCTGCTGCTGCTGCTGCTGCTGCTGCTGCTGCTGCTGCTGAGGAGCAGGCGGGCGCTGCGGCAGCCGCACGGCCTTGAAGGACACGCCCAGTCTGCGGCAAAAACCATAAGACAAGCGCAAGACAGTCTGGCTGAGCTCCCCAGGATTAGCAGCAACCCCGCGATCCAGCAGCAGCAGCAGCAGCAGCTGCAGCAGCTGCTGCTGCTTGCTGCTGCTGCCTGTTGCAGCACGGAAGACTGCAGCGGCGCAGCAACAAGGAGCGCCTACCTGGGCAGCTCTATGGCGTCAATGCCCCCGCCCTCGCAGCTAAGGGCCTCGACGTCGTGGGGCCCCCGGGGGCCCCTTGCTGCTTGGGTCCAAACGAGAATGTGGCTGAGGGCCTCAACTCTAAGAAGACTTTCTCTTAAGTGGGCCAAGGGGGATTCTTCTGGGGCCAGGAGGAGGTTAACGAGGGTCTCCGCAGGCGCAGCGGGGTCTTCCTCCGCCTCCTCGAAGCCCCTGCTGCTGCTGCTGCTGCTGCTGCTGCTGCTGCTGCTGCTGCTTGCTGCTGCTGCTGCGCGCTTGGCTGCCTGCTTGCGAGGCTTCAGCGGGACTCTGCGGATGAGTGCGCTGGCCTCGGCAGCCAGCCCGGGCCCCTCGGCAGTGTGGATGAGGTGTACGTACACCCGAAAAGGCCGCAGCGCACGCGCTGCTGCCTGCGGCCGCTGGTAACCAGTAAGAAGAGAAAGTTCGTCGCAAACCCAAAACTCAAAGTCCTCCAAAAGACAAAAAGGCAAAAGGCCCTGACCACACGCGCATGCAGACCCGCACCCGGGATCGCCCGATCCCGCGGCACCACGCCCCGCCGGGATCGCCCGATCCCACCCGCCCCAACACCCCACACTGCGCAAACGGCGGCCCCGGGGACCCGGGGCCCCAGGGGCCCCTAGCCACAGGGGCCCCTGGGCACATCCGGGGCCCCAGGGGCCCCTAGGCCCAGGGGCCCCTAGGCACAGGGGCCCCTAGGCACACCCGGGGCCCCAAGGGCCCCTACGCATAGGGGCCCCTAGGCACAGGGGCCCCTAGGCCCCTACGCGCAAGGGCCCCTTGGAGCAAGGGCCCCTAGCCCCAAGGGCCCCTATGCCAAGGGGCCCCTAGGCCCAAGGGCCCCTATGCCAAGGGGCCCCTAGGCCCAAGGGCCCCTAGGCCCAAGGGCCCCTATGCCCAGGGGCCCCTACGCCTAGGGGCCCCTAGGCCCAGGGGCCCCCACGCCCAGGGGCCCCTACGCCTAGGGGCCCCTACGGCCAGGGGCCCCTACACCCAGGGGCCAGCCTTCTATAAATAATGCCAAAGTCCCTTAAAAGGCCCAGAAGCTGCAGAATTTGCCCCTGCTGCTGCTTACCCTGAGATGGCGGGAGGGTACATACACCTCGCGGGGGCCCCCGGGGCCCCTCCGCCTGGCAATAACCAGAGAGGGGGCACAGGGGCCCTTAGAATCGAAGCTGGAGGCCAGCTGCTGCGCAGCTTCTCTTGCTGCTGCTGCTGCTGCTGCTGCGTGGAGTCCGCCTTCGTCTTCAGCCCCAGCGGACGCGGACGCCGCTGCTGCTTCTGCTGCTGCTGCTGCTGCAGCAATCTCCTCAGCCGAAGCCAACCCAAGGTCAGGGACTTGGTACAGGGACCCTGCAGCAAGCTCAGGGGCCTCCGTGGGGGCCCTCACCAGGGGGGCCCCCAGCCTTTTGGTGCAGCAGCAGTCCAGTGAGGCCCTGAGGGAAGAGGAGAAGCAGAACTGTCTGTACACCTGCCGCCCACTTTCCACCAAATCAAAAACAAACACAACTCCAGGACTTCTCAGAAAAACAATTTCTTTCAAACACCGCGGGGCCCCCTCCGCGGGGGCCTCTGTGGGGCCCCCCGCCCCTCCGGACACTGCTGCTGCTGCTGCTGCTGCAGCAGCAACGCCGCTAGTTAGAAGCGCAGCTGCGGACAAACACACACCCCATGAGGCTGCACAAGCCCTACGCACTCCACGACTGCGCGCAAAACAGCAGCCACAGCAGCAGCAGCAGCAGCAGCAGCAGCAGCAGCAGCAGCAGCAGCAAGCCGGCGTACAGGCGACAGTGGGCCCCTCATCAGGCCTGCGAGCTGCTTGGGCCTCGAAGGCCTCCGCCAAAGTCCTGAAGTCCGCAGGCCCTGCTGCCTCCACTGGCAGCAGTTCTCTGGGGTCTTCTGTGTCTAGAGCGGCCGCGTCGTGGACCCACACAAGAAACCGCATGAGGCTCCCGCTGCTGTTGCTGCTGCTGCTGCTGCTGCTGCTGCTGTTGCTGCTGGAGTCGCTGTCAGAGTACACGGAGCCTGCGTCCCCGTCCGTGGCAGGTGTCCCGGCTCCGCTGGCTTCTTCCGCTGCTGCTGCTGCTGCGTGTTTTGCTGCTGCCTTCCCGGGTTTTGCTGCTGCTGCTGCTGCAGCGGCAGCAGCAGCAGCGCGGCGAGAGACCCCTCGAGTCCAGTCTTCAAAGAGCTGGTGAGCTGCCTGAAGGCCTTTTAGCCTGGGCGCGCGCTGTACGTACACCTGAGACCCCACAAAGTGCCTAGAGAAGAACGCTGAGGCGTAGGGGGCCACCCAGGCCTCCTCGGCTTCGAAGCAGCTGCTGCAGCTGCTGCAGCTGCCGCTGCTGCTGCTGCTGCAGCTGCTGCAGCTGCTGCTCTTCACGCGGTACTCCCTGGGGAAAGCACTCTTCAGCGCGTCACTCGTTGTGAAGAAAGAAGGGCAAGGGGCCCAGCGCACCTGCGGAAACGCCCAGGCGGATGCAAGCAGCAGCAGCACAGCTAGCTGCCGGCTGGCTAGCTGCGCAGTGGCTAGCTGCTGCTGGAGGCTCCCCAGCAGCAGCACTTGCTGCGCATCCTCTTCGTAGGGGCCCCGGTGGCTAGCAAGCCACGCAGCTAGCTAGCTAGCTGCTAAAGCAAGCCCGCGGGGCCTGCCCGCCCCGCTTAGCCCGCCGTAGCTAGCTAGCTAGCCAGCCAGCTAGCCATCTAACCAGCTAGCCATGTAACCAGCTAGCTACCTAACAAATTAACGGGCCAGCTAGCCAGCCATCTATCCAGCCAGCCATCTATCCAGCCAGCTAGCCAGCCAGCCAGCCAGCCAGCCAGGCAGCCAGGCAGCTAGCCAGCCAGCTAGCCAGCTAGCCAGCGAGCTAGCTAGCTAGCTGGGACTCACGAGGTCGTGGTCGAGCCCGAGAAGGCGCAGCCAAAGGCGCTCCGGGGTCTCCTCCACCACTGCTGTTTGAATTGGGGCCGAGCGGCTGGTGGCCCCGAAAAGCTGCAAAAAGTCTCCGAAGTTGTTTGCCCAGAAGCCGAGCAGCTGCATTTGGTTTTGCCGCAGCGAGAGCTCAGCTGTCTGTACACCCCGCCGCAGCAGCAGCAGCAGCCCCACGCCCGCGCATCGCACAAGCCCCTCGCCCAAGCCCCAAACCCTAAACCCTAAACCCTAAACCCTAGGAAGAAGTGCCCGCGGCCCACGCTGCTCCGTAGGAGCGGCAAAACGGCTTCGAAGAAGCTCGTGTAACAGTAAGCGCCGACGGCGCGCAGCAGCTAGCAGCAGCAGCAGCAGCAGCAGCAGCAGCAGCAGCAGCAGCAGCAGCAGCAGCAGCAGCAGCAGCAAAGGCATACTTGGAGGTTGGCCTGGACCTCGGACTCCATGGCCAGCGAAGCCTTGAGGGACTCGGCGTAAGCTGCTGCCTGTCCCGCTGCAGCAGGAAGCTGGGGAGGCTCTCCGCCCAGCAGCCGCAAAGTGCTGCGCTTCATTGCTGCATGCATAGCAACAACAGCCCCCCGCAGCAGCCCCACGCCTCCCGAGGCGTGCTGCTCTTGCTGCTCTTGCTGCTGCTGGTCGAGCGCCTGCGCCCGCTTCGCTGCAGCAGCAGCAGCTCCCGCTGCAGCAGCTTCCTCCCCGGCCTCCCGGCTGCTGCTGTCCCCAGCAGCAGCAGCAGCAGCAGCAGGAATGTACCGTCCTGACACGCCGAGACCTTCCACCGCTCGCC